CCACAATGCAAACATTTGTATGCATATGACAGTTTTTACAATGCATTAAGCATGTTTTTCAAGATAACATGAAAGATTCTGAAAAATAAGAAAAATATCTGCATTTTAAAGATCAGTGTTTTTAAACATCCCACCGTGAGTACTGATAAAAAAAAACAAGACAAGATACTTCGTGACCAACCTTTTTGTAATAGAATCATTACACTGTACCATTCATGTGGGGTGGGTCACTTCTTGCTAATAATTAAATTTATTGTTATTATTATTGTTGTTGTCGCATTTAATGTAAATGCACTTAAGTTTTCTTTTTACAGGAGCAGATTTCAGAAATAGAAAGTGCTGTAAGGAATCTGCTTAGCTGCATCCAAAAGCATAGCAATCCTCAAGCACAGGGGAATTCCAACAGTTTTCCCACCGTGGCACCTCAACCTGGTACCAGTGCTTCCTTTGGGGTTGGCCAGGCTGTCAGTAGGCCAAACACAGTTCAACAAGAAATGCAAAGGTAAGGAATTGTGTACCCAAAGCCCCCTTCTTAGTCAAGTGTTCATATTTATATACTTTTATTAAATTAGCAAGCTCTCGAGTTTTGCTACTGTTTTACCTTCATAGTACCGAAGTCTGTCTTTTCTACAGCCAGTTACCATGTGCACCTACGTCTCTCCGGCCGCTGGTATTACAGCAAGGGGCGTGTTTTACCGGAACCATATCTCAAGAGGGTGTGGTTGCAGCACGTGCACTCTCTGCCACAACAGGAAATGACTCCAAGGAATAGCTTCCTGATTGCAAAGTTAGTGCTAATTAAGCACTATATAGTACATTTTCAAGTTATAATCTTTCAATTTATGAATGATATGAAACGAAATGTTAACACGCGCACGTGTATTTTTGGCTAGCTTTTGCTATTTATTACAATATTATATTTTCAATACCAGATCAAGTGAATGAAGCTAAATTATCTGAACGGGTCGTCAGCCCAGTGCTGTCAAAATCTTCAGGTTTAAATGAAGGCTCAACCCTTTTCTCCTCAGTGCTGCTGTCCATGCTCGTAGTCTCAGTTTATTATTTGTGAATCTACACACAAAAATAAGACCGTTTGTGCTTAACGCAGTAACATACATCGATGTAACTGTTTGACAAATATAATTTTAGCATCTTACAGATATATTATTCTAATAAACATGTTCATCTTTTGTTTTTTTAACTGACAAAAGTTAGCTAACGTTAGCTTAATTTAACTTAGTAACTTAGCCATCGATAAGAACAGTCACTTCAAATTCAACACGTTCGTAACAATAAAATATTGTAAAAACAATTTCTCACCTGTGAAATGTTATTCTCTGCTGTTTAGTTTTATTATTTCTTTCATTAGAACATCCACAAGCAGCACAAAAGTCAGGCATCTTCCATTCGTGGTCGGAACCCCGTCATAAGATGGCGGCGGAATTTACGTACGCTGACAAGCCCAATGCGGCGTCTATGTGCACGATATCGATGGTTGTTTAGGCACTTGTTTGCGATCTGATTGGACCAGAAGCTGACTTGGGTTAGGAGTCAACCTTTGATTGGTCGGATTAAAACCGGAAAAAGGTGTCACAAAGACAAGATTCTCCTGCGTAAAGCGACATGAATGTTTTTGCTGTTTCGGGAGGCATATTTTTTATAAGAAAAATCTCTCATTTTAATTTGTAAACTTTTTACAGGTCAAAAGGTGGGAGTATATTATTTTGTTGCGTTTAATTGTTGTTTAGTTGTTGCGTTAACAATTATATACAAATATAACCGCGAGCGATTTTGCGACAAAACAAAACCTTCGGCTCCGGCACACCCACCTATAATGATACAATACAATACCAAGGTAGCTAGCTTAGTTGTGGAAATAAGAAATATCTGTAAGACTGTGACAAGTATTTAATTCGTTGGTTAGATAGTTATGTAAACGTATCAGTTTTGGATTTATTTAATGCTTGGACCACTTTGAGAACGTTTGTCCGTTATGGAGGTAGCTGCATGTTACATGGAATATTTGTTAGAATAGAATGCCATTTTTTTAAGCTGAAATTGTAAGATGAAATTTGGCGGCCGCAAATCCACATCGGTTTGTGTTTTGATGTTTGATTATACAGATTACGCTGTGATTTTCATTTTAAGGTTTAATCATGGCTTCTCGTGGAAAATCGGAAACCAGTAAATTAAAACAAAACATGGAAGAGCAGCTGGACAGACTAATGCAGCAGCTCCAAGACCTTGAAGAGTGCAGGTACTCTGCTTCGCTCCTGGTAGTTATTAAAAGTGGTTCAGCGTTCTTTACAAAGACTCCCATATGGCGATTTTCTTTTCCTGAATTTATTATTTCTATTAATGTACAACTACTTTGAGACCTATGAGGCATTTTTATAAGCCTACAGCCAAAGCACGTGTTACTGTTTGTTCCTGGCGCAGGGAGGAGCTGGATCCGGAGGAGTATGAAGAGACAAAGCGGGAGACTTTGGAGCAGCTGAGCGAGTTCCACGACTCACTGGAGAAAATCCTGTCTGGGAACATGACTCTAGTGGACGAACTTGGAGGGATGCAGCTGGTATGACACAGAAACTGTCCTGTCTTTTCAGACTGTTTATACATTGTGGAAAAACGTCCCAAAGGAAGCTGACCTGTGTTGTGGTGTGCAGTTGTTGGAACGACTGTCACCTGCCTACTTGCGGCATTGCTTAGTTTCCCGTCTCCTTACAGGCCATCCAAGCCGCCATTAGCCAGGCCTTCAAGACCCCCGAAGTTATCAGACTGTTTGCCAAGAAACAGCCTGGGCAGCTAAGGACCCGGCTGGCTGAGGTGAGGACAGGGGCTCCCAGGGGAGTATTCCACGCATAGGAGCACGCAGCTCAGGATATTACATTTAAAGGAAGTGTGCCGTGTCTGTGCAGCTGTGTGAGAGTAGCTTGCTGTGTGTGCAGATGGACCGTGATGTCATGGTGGGGAAGCTCCCCAGGGGCACTTACACGCAACAGAAAGTGGAAATCCTCATGGCGCTTAGAAAACTGGGGGAGACGGTAAGGGAGCCTGAGGCCTGTCTTCCAGGCCTGTCTTCCAGGCCTGTCTTCCAGTGTAAACTTCCTTCCTTCCTTCCTTCCTTCCTTCATCCATCCATGCAATTTATTCATGGATTGTTTGTCTATTTAAATTGCCAGCAATTATGGTAGAATGCAGCCGCAATTTAATCACTTTGAATGCGGCTGATGTGGATGGCTTACTGTATTAGTCAAAGAAGGAAAAGAAATGCAGTGATGTCAGAGCTGTTTATGTTGTCCTCTCTGGCTGCAGCTTCCAGCAGAAGATGAAACGTTTCTCACCGCAAATGCAAGTGGCTGCCTGAGCCAGTTTGAGAAGGTCACAGTAGGGCTTGGTGGGTCCCCCACATGTTTTATTATTGCAGAAATAAGCACTGACATATAATAAACCATTTTGGGAAAATTACTTTTTTGTATGTTTCCTAGTCTTGCTGCCTAGCTTTGAATTATAATTAAATAATTGCAGACAAATTTATGGAAGTTTTAAGATGAATGTCACTCAAATCGATCATGGTTCTCTCACCAGGTTCAGAAGATAAGATTCTTGCCTTGGCTTCATCTGGTGTGAAGGCCAAAACGTAAACAGGAGCCTGAAGGCATCTCCTGTTCCCAGGATTGAATTGTCTTTGGTGCAGATTGTTGGGGCTGATTTTATGTTATTGTGGAATGTGTTGTCTATTTGGTGGAAAAAGAGCAGGATAAAGTCACCAGAACCTTGGTTTTCTGTCAGTCACCGTAACCGCAAGCTGTGTTTTGCCATGTTGGACACTTTTCTTAAATAAATGTATTGCCTAGGTAGACACAGCAGATCTGTGCAGTGGTGGGTGACAAGTCCTGCGGCATTTTAATATTGTGAACACCCTGTTAAGAAACTAAACCCTGTGTCCCCCCCCCCCCCCATTCATGTACAGAAAGGTACACAGCAGCTGTTTTAATGTCTTTTTGGGTTATAAAAGTGTTTTTCAAGAGCATTAGCATTTCTTCTTAAATTGTAATATTTTCAAATTCCTCTTAACAGGTGTTTTTAGCCGGGGTTTGGTGTGTCTATACTTTTATTGGTGATAATATCCAGTGTCAGTTTTTTTCAGTACCGATTCTTTTTTAAACCGTAATTTTTAGAACACTTTTAACCATTTTGTCAGCTTTCTTTACAATAATGAAATGTAATGGTATAAAAGATACAAAAATGCAACTTATGTGCTGTGCGGAAAAAACTGTCAATATACATTTTAATTAAGATTTTGTAAACAGTCCCACTGTGTACGGTGAACTGAAACGTATAACCTGTGATAATCTTTCGTTAATAACCTGTTTAATGTTAATGTGAGTTTAAATATTTTTAAATCTGGAAGTGAGATTGTAAATTGTAAAACGGTCAAAAACGCAACGATGCAACTTAAACGTATCTCCTCATCCTTTATTTTGTTCAACAGCAAGCATCAACTTCACTATAACTTGACTTTGATTGGTAGAAAATTGAGTTCTGCCCTAACAAGCACAAAGGCAGCTTCCGACAGTCCTCGACACATCCTTTCCCGTTGACTTCCAGAGGAAAAAAATTAAATCAATAAAAACGAAAACGGCGGACAACAAAAACGTCGGAGTGGTGCGACAGCAGGCCGCCACGATGCGTGAAAATCACCAGTAAGTCACTGCAGTCGCCGCCCCGATCCCCCAGACTCTTGTCACGCATTTTACGCACGTGACACGAAAGTGCCCTGACAATAGTGACTCGCTGCGGCGGCCCCAATAAACGGTAGTTTTATACAGTGAAAATTAGCCTTCAAATGATTTTCGAAACGGGGATATATTTAAAATCACCAAATCGAAAGATTTCCTTTCTTATTCAGTGTTAACTTCACCCAGATCTTCCTTTTACGGAAAACCATTACCTTTGCGACCATAAATCCATCGCCAAAATTTATTATTATATTTCAGAGGCAAACGTGGCATAATTGTTTAAATATCATAAAAGGATCCCGTAGTCAAACCCTTAACTCGGTTGCTCACGGATGCAGATGACAAACGCAAGTTGTTTACAGGTAAACCCAGCCGGATTATCAAATTTGCAAAGAAGCTGTGCGACAGGTTTTGTGGGGAAGGAGCGTTCTTCTGATTTCCGTCATGTCCACCTCTACCTCTGAAGCTAAAGGAAAAAAAGCGAACACCTATAAACAACACCCAGAATAACCTGTTTAACGTGAATTGTTCAAACTCAGCTGTCACCACATACATTGTAGACTCAATCACAGCAGCGGCATGTAACGTTTTACTAAAGTACACTTTCACTAGATTGTTTTGCATGAATTATTCTAACTACATAAGATGATACCATATGGAAAAATACACAGGTTGTCTACGCACCAACATGAACACAAGACATTTATGTAGGACAATTAAAACGTCTGTCAATAGAATTATTACAACAAAGGGAAAATTAAAATCACTGCCCCAAATTGTTAAAAATGCTGAATGTGACTACTAAAAGAGAGAGATAAGAACCAGACAACGTTCACTAATGAGATCGCATAGAGAGGATTTTATTAGCAGAGTTCCTGCGCTGTGACGAGCCAGGAGTCGGCTCTGTTCAGTGGCTCCCGCTCAAGATCCAGGGAAATAATTAACATAATTTATCTTCGCGCCACTTTTAAAACAATAATGAGTAAACTTTGCGTTAAACTCGGGATTTTAAGTCACAGTCGACATGCTGTACTTTCATTTCTTGTAGACGTTAATATCCTGTTAAATTTGCTAGATCTAGATTGGCATTTTCCGCTTTGGGGCTGGTTGCATTGGACAAACTCAGAGTATAAAAACCATAGTTCATTTCCTCGTAGGATCCCGCTGACACTTTTCCAACATGTTAAACGCTTCCATCTATCGTGTGCGACACTCTTTATCTGTTTCCAAGTCCTCTTTGGGAAAGGGAGAAAACACTAAAACAAACCTCCTTTTGATTTTTCATTACAACCCCAAAAAGATTGGATCACACGGTAACCTGCAGAAACAACGATCCATCCTGCTTCCCGGTAACCTGGATCACTACAGTGATTACTGACGGAGAGGGAAACGACCTGCTGAACGAAGGAAAAAGAAACTGTCCGCTCCATGTAGGCCTACACCATTTATACCATTACCAAGAGGAAAACAAGTTTATCAAATGTAAACAAATGTATCATCAGCTCTACAGTACAGTTCCATGTATAATAAAATCTGCTGTTTACTGCAAAAAAATATGTTCTCATTAGAAGACTGGCTAAAATAAGATTCATTTTTCTGTCGTATCTACCGAATATAATTCCTTTTATTAAAAAAAACACAAAGTCCAAAACACAAGCGATGCAAAATTGCTGCTGACACTAAAACACAGACCTTATACTTCCCCATTTCGTCTTCCAGTAAGAAGACGTTAATATTGATTGTTTTTTTTTTCTTTTTTTGCAGCAAAGTTGCTGGTAACGTTCAGCTTGATCGCGTACTCTTACCCAGTGAAAGGCGATTCTGTGCTATTCTATCTAGTCTTAAACTTCTGCCAAAACCACCCCCCGCCATCAGGGGGCGCCACTTATTTTGATTGTATTCATTTGGTTTTTTTCTTCTTCTCTTCTGACAAAATTTACAGCATGATGAGTGAATGGAATAATGGGCTACTGTAGGAAGCGGCTGAGGTTCTATAAGACTCTATAATGGGTTACCTATGCAGTACGGCAATAAACTATCATCTACGACTATAGAACAGCGCCACGGTGCTAAAACTATACAGCGCGCTTTCCGCAATCACGCCGGGCGCCGTCGCCTGCGCGTCACCCTTTCAGTGTCGAAATTTTTGTAAAATCCAAGCAAGTGTATCCCAAAAACTGCCGAACAGCCCCACCTTCGCCTCTCCAACCCTCCCACCCAAAAAATATCCTATTTAACACCCTCCTCGCCAAATGAGATATAAAACTAAGCCACCTATTGCTGTAGAAACCTCTGCTTTTACTCATGGGTTTCTCTCCTCAAAGCAGACATTTTTACACAAGCAAGACAGAAGAATTTGGCCAAAATGCCGAAACATGCGATAGCCGTAAGGACACAAACATTCTACTTTGCCTTATTATATATTGGACCCGATTCTCTAATCACAGTCTTCACTAACACATGAACTACTTACATGGTTTCATTATATTTACAAAATATTAAAAAGTAATTTCTTCCTCTACACATATCGGATTTGCGACTGTTCTCATGCATTTAAAAAATAGAATAAAATTAAATATGGAAACCAAGCCGCCATCTGCATTTGAGGAGTCGCGTTTCCCCTACTTATAATTCCCGTCCCTACCACTTCCCCTCCCCTAGCATGAGATGACACATAACAGAGAAAATTGTCTTCTGTGGTTCTTCTGCAAAACAATCCGAAATTCATGTGCAAGGAATATATACAAAGAACGTCATTCTGCATAAGTCTTACAGCGGAAACAGAGCAGGCAGGATTTCACAGCCTAGCCTAAAATCAAATAAAATCCAGCGCTCCCAGAGATTAAAACAATAAATAAAATGGAAAGTGGCGATCGCGCCGTTACTGTACTACAAACACCCCGCACAACAGCTAAGATGACAGAGAAACTTCAGCGTGTAGAAGGTAAATGGAAGCAGTGGATCTGCCTTCCAGAAACACCGTTTTTAAACATTTATATACCTACGATGACTGATGTGTCTTTTTTTGTACACAATGTGTCCTTAGCAGGGCAACTGTAGAAGGTTGGGCTGGACCACTGATTCTGTGTGTGTGTGTTATGTGTGAGTAGGTGTGTGAGCGCGCGCGTGTCCGCGCGTGTGCTTGCACGTGTGCAGCTCAGTAGGTGAGTGTGGAGTCGTCCCACTCCAGCTGCTGCTGCCGGCTGGCTGCCTGCTGCTCCTCTGGTCCAACATCCTCCTCATCTTCGCTGCTCTCCGACTCCGCGCTAGTGATGTCATCCTCGTCGCCATCCTCACTCTCCTCCTCCTCTTCCTCTTCTTCCTCGCTGCTGTGCTGATCCTCATATGTCTGTAACAAACAATTAATTATTGTGTCGTATAGTCTTTAAAGTGAGCCATAAATTCAACTTAATAATATAAACAAGAATACAGGTTGCTAATTTTTTTATTTGAGATCAAATTACATCATTTTATTAAAACAGCGGGCATTGAACTATTCACCACCAGAGGGCAGTAGTAACATTTTGCATTGTTTGCCATCCAAAGGGACAGGTTTACATCTCTGGAGGATTTCACTTGCCGTGCTTTTAAGAATATGTTCAGTGTAAAGTGAATGGGAATGACTCCATTGGTACCTCCATCGGGTTCACTGTGATGGTGAGGGCAGAGTCGTCCCAGTCCATCTCGCTCTCCTTGCCGCTCTCCTGGTCTCGCAGGCTGCGTTGGTGAGCGGCACGAATGCGGAAGACGCCCAGGACGATCATGAAGACTAGAAAGCTCACGCACACCACAATGACAATGGTGGCAGCACTGGGGACCACTGAGGAGAGAGAAGGACGTAGCCTGAGGCACACAGATGCCAGCCAGGATGCTCAGAGCATACACCAGCATCAAGCTGACCTTCTGATACCGTCAGTGTTTAAAACCTGCTTTTTTGTTGGGGGAAAAGATTGTGTAAAGAATCTGCACAACCCATATTTAACATGCCACCCTCCACTACCAGCCAGGAGGAACAAATTGTGACTCATCTTTCAGCACTGACAGCAAAACTCTATGAACATTCTGCTTTATCAGCAAACCTCAAAGGCATTGGAAAGCCAACATCGCAGACACACTTTCAGAAGCGGTAATTAAGACTCGACTTTGCACTTCGGGAAATAAGTGGACAGTCATGTAACGGACAGTAGAGCAGGTAAATGGAGGTCTGTGCAGACCATTAGAGGGCACATTGAGTGGGGCAGACAGGTTTGTGCAGGTAAATGGAGGTCTGTGCAGACCATTGGAGGGCACATTGAGTGGGGCAGACAGGTTTGTACCTGAGGCCTGGTGGGTGTTGACCAGGTTGTGGCCGGACAGATCAACTGAGGAATGCTGCACGGGGTTGATGAACTGTGGCTGGACCATGGCATTGTTGATGTGCTCCATAGGGTTGGTCGTGTGGATCACGTTCACCTGAGAGGGGGCGACAGTCAGGGACAAGCAAGACCCTTGGCTATTAATACAGTCACAGTAACAGCTTGCTGGAGTTTCTTAACAGGCTGACTGTTTATGGTTTTCATCGCATCTATTCCAGTGGTGACTGTGGGCTCCCATTAGATTATCTGCAGGCAAATGATCGTCAAGCCGACTGTTATCTCTGTGACCAAACTGATGCTCTAATTGCTTTATAATGGCCCCCCAGCCGCTCATCCGTCGTGGTGCCGCAGAGCCAGACACCTAAT